ACTGCCCCCACTCATGAGCAGTTGGATAACATTTATTATAAGATTATGTAGAGCCCTTGATATGACCCCATTATCGACTGTTCATGGGTGGGGGCAGGACCCCAACAACAATACTGACCGACTTAAGGGATGTGGGTGCTCGAGAAGTATTGGTTGATATTGGTTGCAATACCTAGTCCTCATCATTCTTCATCCTAATCATACGTATAGTATGTCTGTCCGTAGTTATTATTGCCTTCAAGCTGTCAAAGTCTGACTGGAAGGCAGCACTCAAAAAGATTGAGAACAAGGCCGTCAAGTCTGCAATTGCTGACAGGATGTGCTTGTGTATGTACAACATCCCACAGCATGCCTGCAACGTCAGTCTTGGCGTTCCCTTTCTAGGAACTAATAGTAATAGTAATAGTAATAGTAATAATAATAGTAATAGTAATATTATTACTACTATTATTACTATTACTAACTTGGAGCTTGCCGAAGTGAGTCCAGGCGCTGCTCATGTCTGCAAGTTGCCACCGCAACAACATGTGGTCAACGCAAAGACGAAATTGCTATTCAAGACCTGAAAGCTGCGCACTTTCATTACTATTCCGAAGCCTAGGGTTCCATGGAGTTATGTGGGGTTATGCAGGGCTATTTAGGGACAATGGACAAGAACATGGATGTATTATTTAGAGTTTGGGATTAAGGGCATTGTGATCACATCCCAACAGCTCAGCGCAGATCCTCTCCGCCATGTCTTGCAAATCCTGCTGCCGGTCTTGCTGCCGAACTTTCGGCTATGGATTGCTAGTGGCTGCTTGTCTAAAATGAGCTAGAGTCTAAAATCCTGAAAGGCGGTTGAACAGGAGAGTAAATCGGGGACGACTATAGAGGGCTAGGAGTTTCGACTATAGCTCACATGCCAGCAAAATGTCGCATCACACCAGTCTGGGCATGAATTGTCAGCTCGGGATGTTGCCAAACTGAGGCACTGTTCGTTTTCATCTCGGCTGTGGTGAAAGGGGTGGACACATGGCACTTTCTTACTGAGCAGCCCCCCGGCTGCGCACATGAGGAATTGCCGGGACACTTTCAAGAATTGAGCAATCTTTCAAAGTTGTCTTGTCGCTCGAGCCGTATGCGAACACTTTTCAAGGATATCCCCTTGAAAAGCATTGTAGGATTGGGCTTACAAACAAGGAGTTTTCCCCTCATTCTCAATGAGGGTGTACATCCTGATTTTTGACTTGTTCCGTTTGATGATAGCTCAGATCAGGAAATCAGTCTGGCGTGAAGGTCATAGTGGCTGGTTTTGCCAAGAGTGGTACACGCACTATCTGCCACGCGCTGAACGACATTGGCATCAATGCGTATCACAGTGAGGACGCCGTGGTTGGTTCTGACAAAAACAGCTTGAGAAATATTGTTCAGCCAGCATGCAAAGTACCCCCCCGTGTCAACATAGTCACAGCCATAGCTTTGGCAAGAACCGCAGGGTTACCAGCAGTTGCGGCAGTAGAAGTGGTTGGTGGAGGTGGGGATGATGGTGATGGCAGTGACGGCAACTGCGGCTGTGGCACCAGTACCAATAGCCGGACCACTAGCAACCACAGCGATAAGTGATATCAAGTGATGTAGTAACAGCAGTCGCCGGAAATCACCATTTGAAGAGCACCAGAAAACATGATAGACTGCTTAACACATCTTCTGCGAGACAGATTGGGGGTGGCCAGGACTTTCACTTCTTGCCATGGTGGGACTTCATAACTGAGGCCCAGCGCGGACCAACATCGCAGAGCTGTTTTTGCTGCTCGCAGGGTTCTGATATTAACCGCGCTTAACAACCCTACTGATGGCTGGCATTTTTTCGTGGATGAATTATCATGTCTGCTAGTGATGCTACTGCTCTTACTCACCCCAGGGCTCCATTTCTCGTTCTTACCACCCGTATACAGCTCATGATGGTTTTCAAGTACATGCTCGTCCTGGCACGGAAAGATGCACATCATTTTGGTAACAAGAACCTTCATCCTCACCATAGTTTTTTTCTCATGCTAGTAGTTGTCCTGTTGTCTTTTCTGCAGTCCCACTGCACGTCCCTCCATGTCGCAGGTGCGGTCTCAGAAGTGGCAGTACCAAAGGTGTCTCAGCCGATGTTAGTTCGGCTGTGCCGCTGCACCCCAAAAACAGTGCAAACCCGCCCGTGCCACTAGGGGTCAGCATTCCGCGCTGTTTGCTTGGTACCGTGCCGAGTGTCGCTACTATTTGTTGTAGTAGTACCAACAGTAGCCAGCAGGAAGAAATGTGGTTGCAGCATTATGGTAATTAGAATAGCATTTGCAGATATTACAGACAGTGCCATTACGCTGCCGTTGCTCGGCTACTGCTACTGCTTCTGTTGCTGCTGTTAGTAGTACCAGTGGCACTGCGGCTGCTTGCTATTATCATTAATATCATTACTGCTAATTTCTATTGCTTCCACCATCATTATTGTGATTACTAGTCCAACTACAACTGCTACTGCTACTGCTACTGCTATTGCTACTGCTACGAGTACTAGTACGAGTATTAGTACTACTATTATTAATATTACTACTACTACTACTACTACTGCTTCTGCTTCTGCTACCACCGCGACCACTGCTGCTACTGCTATTTCTACCATTCTACCACTACTACTACTACTACTACCACTACTACTACTACTATGACTATTCCTATTGCGTATCATTAGTAGTAGTAGTACTACTACAACTACTGCTACTAGTAGTCGTAGTCGTCATCGTAGTAGTAGTAGTAGTAGTAGTACCACCACCACCACCACCACCACCACCACCACCACCACCACCACCACCACCACCACCACCAACGGTATTGTTGCTGCTACTCCTAGTTCCAGAAATGTCCAGTTGCTATGTAGATACCCTGATCTACAAAAGGTAGTTGTTTGCGAACACCGCAAGGCTACCACCCATTCTGATTGCCAACACCGCCACCACTTGCACTCCATACACGTATCACAACCATCACAACCACTCCTACTACCGCCACCACACCCATTGAAACAACGACGACACTGACTGCTGTGAACACTGTTCGGATCAACCTGCCTGTCACCATTCCAAAGACTGTTTGCCACATTTCTCCAGAGGACCCTGGCTGCTGATGACTTGGCGGACCAGCTGGCAAGCTATGACATCAATCAGCTGCGACGGTGCATGGCCCAGCTAAAAGCAAAAAATGAGTTGATAGTTCCATGATGAGTTTTTTCTGCAGCAATGTTTGGACAGAACGGTGCTTTGATGATGATCCTAGGGTAACTCACAACTGCACAGGGCTAGTTTAGAGCAGGCATTGCAGCTAAATCCATCCAAAGCTCGAGTCAGCTAAAGACTGACAGAACAAAATCTGTTTGGCAACCGCAAGAAAGCCAAAAATTAGCCCATCATGAGCGTGTTGCAAACTAATAAACTAATTTACAGCCAGAAACCTTTCTACTGCAGAGACTCATCCGCCGCACACCACGCCACAAGCACAAGCCGCGCACAAAACAGTGGCTCTGACGCCAATTGGTGTTCCCAGCGTTGACGGAATTTGCAACCTAGTTGCTCGTGCCTTTTTCGTACTAGTATGCTTACTTCTGGTACTAGTACGGTACTAGTAGTGGTAGTGGTGGTGGTGGTGGTGGTGGTGGTGGTGGTGGTGGTGCTGGTGCTGGTGGTAGTGGTGCTGGTGGTAGTGGTGGTGGCGGTGGTGGTGGTGGTGGTGGCCGCCGCCGCCGGAGGAGTAGTAGTAGTAGTAGTAGCAGTAGCAGCAGGAGGAGGAGGAGCAGCAGCGGCACCACTACTACTACTATTATTATTACTACTACTACTACTACCACCATTACTAACACCATTACTACCACTACTATTACAATGATTACTACGAGCTGCCGCGAGAGAGAGTTTGCAGTGGCTGTGCAGGCCTTGCTCTTTCGTGTGCTCACGTAGGGTGTTCCTACAATTAGGGGTACCATATTTGGGGTCCGGGGTTTAGGGTTTAGGGTTTAGGCATAATAAGGAGTAGAGTATATTTGGGGTCTATGTTGGGGTCCCCTTATTTAGGGAAACTACCATGTCTTCTAAGACTCCGAGCTTTCGCTACGGGACTAGGCAAGTCCTGACTGATACGCATGGATTGCCCTACTACACCCCCTACACCACCCCCCTAGGTTCCCATGTAATTATTCTGAATGAACTTTAGTTATTCCTCAATAACCTTCATAAAGGTGGGGACCTGGTGGGGGGGCGCTTGGTAAAGGGGGGTGGGTAGTTGGGGAATAAGTAAGATACAGGGGATGCTGGATAGGCATTTGATTCCGCTTTCCACCAGCTTGGTACGAAACATCAGATGGAGCATGTCCCACGCGTTTCAGCGAACAAAATCCCAGGTCATTTGTTGAGCTTGGATGCGTGGCTGCTGGAAAGCAGCTACTGTATATTATTACTACTATTATTACTATCATTACTATTCTTATTGGTATTATTACTATTATTACTATTGGTAATATTACCATGATTACTACTATTATTACTACTCTACTATTATGACCCTTCAGTTTGCTGCAAGCAGGTTCCCGAACTTGGCACGAGATCTCCACGCCATCCGGCCTTGATTCAGCATATGAGCTATAATCTAAACTGTCAATACGAGGTCCTATATTTAGGTTCCTATTATAGTACGGGGCCCTATATAAATTTCCCCCATTTTGGGAACAGTAATTTAGGGAAACTTCCATATGTGAATGTATCCTGCTTCGCAGGCAGGAAGCGGCGTGCCTCAAGCTTTGATAGACTCATGGTGAAATTTTTCCCCTGCTGTGTGATGCCAAGGATTTTTACTTCGAGGAAGGTCTCTGCTTCAACAGGCACAAGTCGCGTTGTTCGCGCAAACTTCAAACTGCCAAGAGCACCTTGGAGCGTCGACTAGGGCTACAGGGGTAGATACCCCCAATAGAGGAGAATCAAATGGAACAATTCAACATGAAATGGACGCTGGGTTGATATACGGTTTAAGGGTCTAAGCTTTAGGGTTAAATATTTCTTGATGTCCGAGACAGGCATATCTCAACGTATGTTGCAGTCATTCTTGCATTGTTTGCTGCCATGCAAGGTGCTGTTGATCCAAGAATTTTGTATCAATTGCAACGCTTGGGCACCGTTGCTTGTATCGCAGCTGCTAAAAGCATGAACATGTGTTTGCCCTCGTTCCGAGCTTCATGCAGTCATAATTGGAATGCCCATATTTGTAACTTCATCTGGGGGATTTCTAACCCCACCTAGCTAATAACAAGAGGATTTCGGGCCAACCCCAATCCTAACGCCACCCAATCAGGACTCCACAATCATCATGTGACTTTACTTGGTCCTGATGGCTTGGGGTTACCAAAGCTAACTCATTAGCTGAGATTCCCTTAAGTCCTCAACCCCTAAACCCTAAACCCTAAATCCTTGACCCTAAACCTTAAATCCTAAACCCTAAATCCTGAACCCTAAATCCTCAATCCTTGTCACTAAACCCTAAATCCTAAACCCTAAACCCTAAATCCTAAACCCTAAACCCCTCACCTTCAAGTGCGGCTTTCTCATGGGCTCAGGCAGCTTCCTGCGACGCGCTGTTACCTCCGAGGACCCTTAGAGGTTGGTTATATTAGGGGTTATATAGGGGTGGGTTTATATTGGGTTTAGGGTTTAGGGTTTAGGGTTTAAAGTTTAGGGCTTAGGGTTTAGGGGTTATATAGGGGTTAATAAAATGGAAACTACTATAATGGAGAATCAAATGGAAAAGAAAATGGAAAATGAAATGGAAACTGGGACACCTGAGTGGTTGTTAAAATTATGGTCCCTTTTTGGGTCCCTATTATAATACGGCCCCTAATATTTAGGGTACCCAAAAAGGGACCATAATTTTGACAACCACCCATATAGGGGTTATAGTATTGGGTTTAGA